GTGACGTTGCAAAGGGATCTCATTATAATATTACCGCCCCTTAATCTGTGAGTTTACACCCACAGTGCCGTCATTTTGATTTCGCAAGCGACAATGGTGTACCAGTTCTAATGCCATGGCGAAAGTTTGAGCAAAACATGCTGTTTACCTTCACAGACATAACCGATTGTTTTTGTAACTCGTGTGTTTGTAAACTTGTATGTGAATGAGAACTTAGTTTAGTACTCACATGCTGTGACAGCCGCTTTCTGTACGTGTGCTCCGGATGTGTGCTCTCAGAAAACCATATATCTGAAGTTTAAACTCATGTGGTTTAAAACGCATGATTTCATCGCGATAAACATGATAATCAGAACCAAAACAGATGTTTTTAGCAGGTCCGAGCTGTAATGGCGCAGCTCTCTTCTGGAAAAGGGGGTGGGGAGCAGCAGCTCATTTGCATTTAAAGAGACAGGCCCGAAAAACAGCGTGTTTCTGCTTCCACTCAAAATAGGCATTTTCAAAATGATATAATAAATGATCTGTGGAGTATTTTGAGCTGAAACTTCACAGACACATTCTGGGGACACCAGAGACTTATATTACATATTGTAAAAAGGGGCATAATATGTCTCCTTTAAATTCAAGAAATGCATTTAATTGCAATTGAAATATGTATTGAATTAATGCTTTAAATGCATTTATATGTTTAATAGACAATATTTTATAATAGTACATACAAAGAGTGATCAGAATTTATTACATGGCTGATTACCAAACAAATAAATAAATGGACATGAAATATAGATATTGAAGTTGAAATTATTATTTGAGAGGAAAGAAATCAGACACTGCTGAATACTAAAAAAATTAAAACGAATTATATTTTGTTAAATGTAACGGGCTAATTAAAAATGTAAAAAATATTTTGTATACATGTATAATGCAATTAATTATCTAAACACTTTATATTTTCATAGTATGTACATGCAATTTTTTAAATATAGTTGCTTTTTGACTGATGTTTACTAAAAGTTACACAATCTTTGCTACACAATCAGTATAGTTTTTTGATGTGAGTAGAAGCAAATGAATGAGAAAGTAATTTAGTTTTTGTGTTTTTTTGCATGTACATGTGGTTACCTTGATGTTGGTGACTCTCTGTACGAGTGCGTTCCTCATCCAGGCCATCAGATCTTCTGCCTGCTGATCTATCAGTCGCTCTGATGCTGAACAACACAATCACAGCACCAGTGACTCCGGCTGATCTTATGACTTCTTACATAATTGTCCTTTGGTTTACTTGTTTAAATGCTTAATTAACATTATCATTGTTGGCAAAACGAAGTGAGGAATCAAGAACATCCAGAAATCACTGTATACTGTAGTTGACGTGTCTCGGATAATGAGAGGTAATTATTGCATTGTGACTGTACTGACTGATGTTCTGTCTTACCTGGTTTGCTGTCTTGAAATTTCTCTTCTTTGTAATGATCTACGACTATGTCTGTCTCGACTGAGAGGAGCTTCTTCCTGTCGAACTCTCTGAGGTGAAGCAGCGTGAGCTCATCGAACTGCTCAAAGCAGAACAAGACCTGCAGGAAGAGACAGAACGTCAGAAACAGACACATCTTTCTTCTGTTGACTGCTACTCAATTTTCTCATCAACTCAACATGACAACATATTTTCTGTATGTTTTCAAATTTCATGATCTCAACCACAACATTTTTTTGTCCTATTAGAAATCCCTGTGTTTGACTGTAAATGTTTAACCAATTAAATAAGTATTATATTATAAATATTGAAAAATAAATACAGAATGATTAATAGAATAAATCAATAGTAAATAAGCATTAAATAAAACAAATAAATATTTTAATTGGAGTTTGTTCTTTTAAAGGTTAGAGGTTAAAAATCACATTTTTATCAATGTTATTAATTTAATATATACTGTTATATTGATTAGGAACAGTGACTTTGTCTTAATAAAAGTGAATAGATTTTAATATGAGATCTCCATTTTTTACCCTGTGGGGCAAAATAACAGACAGATGAAATAAAAAACATTTTTATTTTCTTTATTCCATATTTATATATTAATATATTATTAAAAGTACAATATAAAATTATTATATTATTAAATGTAGATTTTTATATTACTAAATTCCATGTAGTTGTTTAAGCATTTACAATTAAGCACCTTCTGAATGGGACTATTTTCTTAAGATAAAAAAATTAAGACCTTGAGAAAACAAGTTTTTGTAAGTCAAGATCACAAGAAAATTGAATAGAGTAATTTTTGTCATGTTGTGATCACAACAAAATAGATAAACTGATTTAATCAATGCATCTTTAGCATTCCATTAGTTTCTGATCAATATATTTGGCCATTTTGAGATTAACGGCAGTGTTGGCGCCCCCTTGTGTTCATCTCAAAAGCTACCAACAGCCTTGTCAATAGATAATGCACATTTTATGCTTTCAAAATTGGACTGAACTGAGTACATTTTTAATTGCAAATTAATTAGCAGTTGTTTCCAGCAAATCTGCAATGCATTGCATCAGCCTTCAGATCAACTTGTAGATTCATGACCCATTGGCTCTTTAATAGTGTGACCATTAAGTCTCTAATCTCACCTCCATATCTTTCTGTTTCATGGCCTCAAAGTACGGCGAGTGTTCGGCCAGGTGGCGATTCGGTGCGCACAGATAGTAAATGTTCCTCGTTCCCGCCTTCATCCGAGAGGCGTATTCCATCAGGCTGGTCTGCTGTCCCGCAGGAAGCGCTGACGACTCAAAGCGCAGCAGCTTAGCAATGTCTTCCTGTGACGACATAAATCAGCAGTTTGAAAACAATCAGAGAGAAACGGGCTGATTAAGAAGGCCAAACGAGGCGTCTCGTACCTTGACGCTCTGCTCTGCTGTGGTCACGATGCCCTCGCGCATAAACAGCCCGTAGTCGTCAAAGAAGCGAGCGTATTTCTCCGGATCCTTCTTGCTCAGGTCCAACAGGAACCGAATGACCCGCTGCTGTAAAACATCCCGCAGTTTCCTGAAAGAATAGAGTATGTGATGTTGTGTTTGTTTTTTTTTGCACAATGCAGAAGGCATAACATCATATTCCAGGCAGGTTTGTACCTGATTAGAGCACTTTCCTGTAGCAGCTCTCTGCTGAGGTTCAGAGGAATATCTTCACTGTCCACAACACCTGCAAATGTAATCACATGACAGTCAATTTTCCTTTATTTTTAAAATGTATTTCAAGTTCATTCATGCATTTATCTGGATGCTCAGTTGACCTCGCAGGAAGCGCAGCCACTTGGGAAGGATGTCTGTGGCTTTGGTTTGGATCAGAACCTTCCTGCTGTACAGGGCCACACTGGAGCCCATCTCACGACTCACATCAAACATGGAAGGTTTCTGCTCTCACACATTTACAATCATCGCAAAACAAAACAGAATCATTTGTAAGCTGATTACCAAACAAATGGACCTAAAATATTAATCTGGGTTGAAAATGTATGTAAGAAAGAAGAGTGATTTGCGATATAAAAGTCAGATTCACCACTGAATACTAAATAAAATGTGTATTTCAGAAAATGTACAGTATATAAAATTAAGTCAAACATGGAAGGTTTCTGCTCTCACACATTTACAATCATCGCAAAACAAAACAAAGAATCATTAGTAAGCTGATTACCAAACAAATGGACCTAAAATATTAATTTGGGTTGAAAATTTATGTAAGAAAGAAGATTGATTTGTGATATAAAAGTCAGATTCACCACTGAATACTAAATAAAATGTGTATTTCAGAAAATGTACAGTATATAAAATTAAACCATTGTATACAAAATGAAATACACATAAATAATGCATATTTAAATTATTTTGCTATTAAAAGATAACAGACTACTTAATTTAAACTGTTTTAATTTAAACATTTAATGTTTAATTTTAAAATGCGTAAATACGTTATATATATATATATAAGCCATTTTTAAATTAAGTACATTCTGTAATTTAAGTTTAATTAAATGGATTTAATTGCATATGAATTAAAATATGTATAAATTAAGTGTTTTAAATGCATATTTCAGTTATTAAGTGATGTAACAGGCTAATTAATTTAAAATTAATAAAAAAATTTTATTAATTTGTATGTGCATAATGTAATTTAAAAATATTTAATTTTAAAATATGTAAATACTTGTTTTTAAAATGATGTGCAATTTAAGTGCATACTGTTATTTAAATTTCAATGAATATTAATTAAAATATGTGCAGATTAGTACTTTAAATGCATACTTCAGTTGTTAATGATGTAACAGGTAACTAATAGATGTAGCTCATTTAAAGGGGTGGTTGATTGCGATTTCCCTTTTTTAACGTTAGTTAATGTGTAATGTTGCTGTTTGATCATAAACAATATCTGCAAAGTTACGAAGCTGAAAGTTCAATGCAAACGGAGATATAGTCTTTTAAAATTCTGGCAGTTTAATGCCTACAAAAACGGCTGCTAGGGACTACAAGTTACTTCCCGGGTGCGTGACATCACATCCCAGATAAACCCCGCCCCCGGGACAAGGCAGCAAAGGGGCAAGCCATGCTGCCAGGCCATGCTGCGCTGCTTTAGAGAAGAAAAAGAGAAAACTAGTGGTGCACATAAAAATCTGTTTATATATGAATCGCGATATTTAATCAGGATAAAACTGTATATTAAAAGCTAACATAAGCAGTAGCATTTACACATAACAGCATATCTAGAAGAATGAGACAACAACAAACAAAAAACATAGGCCTACCATTAAAAGCCATGCTTGCACAGGTTCTGCACGATCCTCTTCAATAATATCCTCTGCTTTTCAATCGGGCTCAAACTGATAAGCGATATGAACGACGCCTTGTTTACAATACAACCGGAGCACATGCTGCTATGTTGAGGGGCGGGACGATTAGATGCGCACTAGAAGCGGTTTAGCCAATCACAACACACTGAGCTAGCTAACCAATCAGAGC